TGTTCTAGGTTACAGCTCTGGCACCCCAATGTTCCAGGTTCTGGGGGCCCTCCTAGTGCTGGCACAACCTGGTATTGTAGGTCCTGGCCAGCCCGGCACGCCAGTGTTCTAGGTCACAGCCTGGACACCCCAGTGCTCTAAGATCTCGTTCTCAAGCTTCTCCCCACTCTGCCACCCCAGAACGGTGATGCTACCTGACACCTCTGATGGAGTGCTGCCTCAGTTTGTCTGCCTCTCTTTGTCCCACCCCTGGGCATTCAGCCCTACCCTTTTCATTTCAGTACAAACCCATTTCTGTATAGGGTCCTCATAACCACCTGAGAGTTGGGAGGACTTGAATTCAGATCCAGCCTCAGACACTTACTAGCTGTGTCCTTGTCTGTACAGTGGGTTCCCTAACAGCACCTACTTCTCAGGGTGGAATGAGAGCATGTTTGTGAAGCACTTGACTTGGTGCTTGGAACTAGTACGTGCTTCATCAATGCTAGTTGTTATTATCATTATGTTATCCCCATTTTACAGATGAATAAACTGAGTGCTGTAGAAAGGAAGCTTCTTGTCCAGGCTTCCACAGCTGGTTTGTTGAAGTGGAGCTAGCACTTGAATCCAGACCCTTTGACTTGAGGCCTCCTGTATCTGCACCTTCCCCGAGGGTGAGCCTCCTCCTGTCCTGGGGAGAAGGAGCAGGCTTCAGAGCTTGTCCACAACAGCCCCCCAGATTCTGCGCTGACCCCACCTTAGTCCCCAGCCTCGCTCTTCTTCCAGGGCCTGCCAGGACAACCGCGGCCTAGAGCCCCTGGGGCCTGGTACAGGACCCTCCCTGCATGTAGTAGGCAGTAATTATTGCAGTGAAACAGAGAAAGATCAAAATAAGCCCGTTCTAGATAGCTTTAATCAGTGAAGGCAAGGATCACTGCCCGCCTGAGCCTCCTCATTCTGAAACGAATGTTACACATTTAACAACGAAATGGGCAAGCAAAAAAAAAATCCTTTTCTGATGGTGAGATAGAATTGGAGAAGATCCCTGAGACTTTTCATTGGCTAATTACAGCATAAGGACGCCTCTGAGCCCCTTTTTATGCTGTGAAAAAGTGCCATCCTCGGGGAGTTAGCAAGGTTCTGCGCTTTTCTCACCTCATTCTGTTTTCTAATAAATCAGTAAAGCTTCTTAGCTTTTTAGGAAGGATAGACTGATTTATAGGTGCCATATGGTGACATCAAAGGGTGCTTTTCTTTTTTTTAGCTAGAAGTGGGTATTTCCACACCTTTGCTCAAAGCTAGAAATTCAAATTCAAAAAATGGTAATTTTTTTCCTACTAGAATATCCTGCTTAAAGTGAGGTCTGTGGGATTTTGTTTTGTTTTGTTTGGAGGAGTTGGGTAAGACGGGGAGGCTTGGCCTTAGTGTTTTGGATCTGTTTTTGTTCAGAAAGTCTACAGCGCTAGATAGTGAAATCACTGCACGTTGCAGCTGAGACCAGGAATCTGCAGGGCCAGTTACAGACTCCATTGAGCACTGTCTAGCTTGGAGCTTTCTGGGGCTGTCCATCTTCCAGACTGGCTTTGTGGGGGCTCCCAGAGGCCCAGCTGGATGGGTTCACTGGGCTGGGATGGGGAAAACTGAGGCCCGTGTGGGCTGTAAGTGGCAGACCTGTGCAGGAAGGGAACAGCGCAGTTCAGATAGATTTACCAGGTGGTCCTCTGACTGCAATTGCACAGTAAAAGACAATCTATTTTAAATGAAAAGAATACAGTGTTTTAGCTGAATCAAAGGCAAGTGGCCTTGTAGCAAGCAGTCCAGCCTGGAGTCAGGTAAGCGATTGGCCTCCTCCCGAGCTCAGATCACAGGCATTGGGCCTTCCCGCATGAAGAGGTGCTCCTTGTGATGGTTTCCTTCATTTCGTGTGTTGGTGTCCTCATTGCCTGGTTCAGGGCCAGTAAATACTGGTTGGTCAATCAGTCACTGGTATGACCTCGGACGAGTCACTTAACCGAGGGAGAGAAGGCTCAGATTAGCAGGCCTTGGAGGTCTTTTGTCTTCTCGTGGACCCTGCAAGCTGAACTGTGCATGTCTTCAGCTTCATCCTCAGCCTCTCTGTCCCATCCTCTACCAGCATCCCCAGTGAGTGAACTCCATCGTCTTTTTGTGGCCAGTTCTCTAGCAGACTGAGCCCTCCCCCCCACCCAACCACACAGCTGGGTCTCCCTCAAGTTCCAAAACTTTAAATTCTACCTTCTCATTCTTCTCTGACATGAATCCTCACTCTCACTTTGAAGTTCTAGTGACCTCAGATTTAATACAGAAGCAATCTGAGAATGTCAATTTAAAAAATGATCTATTCCTAGCCCAGACCCATTGACAGGTAGTGACTAGTCAGTCAGTCAATGGGAAGGGAAAGTGGTGTCCTCTCATTAGAATTAACATCCATACGAAGCGTAAGAAGAAATTCTAACTCTTCTTCCCAGAAAGGTGGGCCTCCCAGGACACCATGATCCAGAAGGCCCGGAGCCTCTTGGAGACTGGCCTGGGAAAATGGCCTAACTCAAGAGGTTGTCCGAGTTGACAAGAACGTGAGAGATGATCTAATCTAGCTCGCTCATTTTACAGATGAGAAGACGGAGGCCCAGGGAGGTTCGGGTCTTGGCTGAAGGGTTGAATTGTGACTTTCAGAGAATGACATGAATGTGTGAGGTGGCATTCAGTGAATCATCCCACAATCAGAGGGTATGAGACTCTAGTGCGTCAGATGCTCTGTGTAGTTCCCGCTGGACAGGCCTAGCTCCCCCAGAGACCTGGGATCTCGGCAGGCGAGGGACCAGGAAATGGAGCAGTAGAGCTTCTCAGCTCAGCTCACACAGTGGGGCTAGAGACAAGAGGGGAGAGGGCCAGCCTTGCCTCAGTTTACCCAGACGCTTAGGTGCTGGCCTCTACTGAATCCCTCAGACCTCCAGTTCCCAAGTCTGGGTCAGTGGAGTTCAGGCTTTCCCAGGGCCTTCCAAGGTTGAAAGCCCAGGGAGGGGCTTGAATTTCTTTTGTCCAGTGACCAACCTATCCCAATTTGGAGGAACACTGGACCTAGGAGAAGGTCTGATTTATAGGGGATTAAGCTGTGGGTGGGTGAAGGTCCTCAAGTTACTGGAAGGTGAAAGTTGGTGTACTTGGCACTGGGCAAGGTACAAAGTTTAGACAAGACATAGCCCCCCCACCATTGTGAAGGTGGGGACCTGAGTTAAAGAAGAGAATGCCCCGTGGACCAGGCAGGTAGTTGTTGCCTGAAGTGCTGTTCCCCCCAGATCCAGCAGATGGCGCTCACCCTTCATCACTTGTGAGCAGATACCAGGGATGTCCCTGAAATTCACCATAGGCTGCCAGCATCATCTGGGAGTCCTGGACCTCAGCTCTGGAGGCTGTAGGCATCACTTAGAGGGGCCTCTGTGTGAGGCTCGGCCCAGAGGAGACACAGTGAGATAGGAGAGGAGCTAAGAGCTGGCGAACCAGGCGGATCTTCCCTGCAAAACAACCATGTTGGTTCGTTTGTTTGTTTATTAAAAGTCCCGGGCTGGAAGCTCTGTTCTAGTGAATCATTCTATCAGCTCATGTTGGAAAAGCATTCCTAGCAGCTTCCCTGATCTGGGAGTTCACTTGTCGTCTTTGAATGGAACGTACACGTTTACGTTTGAATTTTAAAAATATATATGGTGTTATTTATTTTATATAAATATATCCACATACATACATGTGTGTGTGTATATATGTATATGTCCACTGTTATTATTACATAGCAGTTGAAGAAGCACTTCCTTTAAGGTGGCTGACACAGGCAGTTGTGTGACCATTTTTGCAGATGGTGAAACTGAGGCGTATAAAGTTTGAATTGACTTGGTGGGGTCACATGGCTCGTAAATGTGTGTGCTGTACCTTGAACTCAGTCAGGTGTTTGAATTCCAGAGTTGTTCGGTATATCAGCCACCTCACCATAAGCAAAGGAATGGGTGATCAATCACTAAGCATTTCAGTGCCAGCCCTATGCCAGACACCGTGCGGTGTTTTGGGGATACAAGACAAAGATGAAAGAATCCTAGCTCTCAGCAACTTGTTATTCTAACCTGGGAGGCACGACCACATATAAGGATATGCAGGATAAATACAAAGAGAATGAGAAAAGCATTTAAGTAAAGGGTAGTTGGGAGGGGAGGGCGGGTGCTAGAAATGGGGGTATCAGAACAGACTTCTTGCAGAAGGTGGTGCATCTTGAAGGAAGAGAAGGCCTTTGAAGCAGAGGTGAGAAGGGGGTGCATGAACACAAGATGTGGAGTCTTGTATGTGAAATGGGCGTCTGGCTGGATTGCAGAGGGGTAGCAGTGCCCAGGGAGGCTGGAAAGGGTCGGTTGGGGACGGCTTGTGAAGGGCTTCAGAAGCTAGTAGTTTATATTTCATTCTGGGGCAACAGGAAGCAGCTGGAACAGACCGATTGAGAGTGCCTTAGGTCTTCCCTTAAGAAAGATTCCCTGAAGCAGCAGTGTGTGGGAGAGACCTGAGGCAGGGAGCCCGGTAGGAGCCTGTTCAGTGTCTGGGGAGAGGGGATGTGAACAAGGTAGCGGCTGTGTGAGCAGAGAGCGGGGGACAGATCAAGAGACTGAGCGTGAGTTCTGAGCCAGGTAGGGGGACTTGGAGATAGTCGTAAAAACAGCCAAGAGAGGTGGTCAGCGGTGCCAGGTGCAGCAGGTAAGTCCAAACAGCGACCCTCAGATTGGGGAGCGAAGAGATTTCAAATCTTCGAGCGCTGAAGAGGTCCCTTTGGAGAGCGGTTTCAGTCGAGTGATGAAGACAGTAGCTAGCTTACAGTGAGGAATGACTGATAGCAGTGGAGAGAACAAGGGGAGACGTTTTTCCTAGGACTTTGAAAAGCCATAGGCCAGTAGCCTGGGGGCTGCTGGGTGAGGCTTGTCCTCAGTGGGGGAGGGAAGAGCTCCTCCCCAAATCTCCCCCCAGCTGGTGTGCTGTTGGTCCCCCAGGCATGTCCATCACCCCCTCCCCCCCTTAGCTTTTGTGCTCTGGTCCTCCACCTGGGCCCTGCCTCTGGCTCCCTTCCTGCAGCCGCAGTCCAGGGAAGAAAGCCTCGTGGACATGCTGATGAATGCAAAGTCTTGATAGAGGGCTCAGTGTTTACTTGTCAGAAGGTGGAGAAAGGGCATGAATTAATAGAGCATTTGCACAGGGGACACCAGAAACAGCTGCCTTGCTGACAAGGGGTTCCCAGAGGCTCCTCTCCCAGGCCCAGATGGCTTGGGGGCCTGGGTTCTCAAAGCATTGACTTTTCACTTTCGTCCTCTCAGGGTTCTTGAGGACCCTGAAGGGCTGTGGGTGGGGTGGGGAATTAATTAGCTTTTTGAACAGGTATTTCCCCGGGTGGTGATAGGGTAATAGCTGGTTGGTACAGACATCCTGCCACCATGAGGCACTGGCTCCCCCATGTACACAGAGGGTCCAGAGGAAGAGGGGCTTGAGGTCAGGGAGGCCCTGTGGCGAAGGGTAACTCACAGCTCTGTACTGATGAAAACCCTTCTTGCCGCCATAGAGTTCCTTGGCCTTCTGAGGCCGGGCGCCTCAAGGAGTCCCCAGTGTGCCTGCCTTGTCCTCACTACTTGACACGCGTGGGAGCATCAGCCACTGCTGTTGTGGGGGCACTGCTAGAACACGCAGTTCCCTGTGTCATCCCCGGCCACGGGTGGCCGAGACGGAGGCCCGTTTTCCCTTCCTCCGCCCTCCCCGGTCACTTCCCTCCCCACGGCCTTGCCTGGGCTCTTGTTGGACTTGATCATTGATCTGAGACCCGTGGGGGCAGGGCCATTCCATGTCATCCCCTGCTCTCTCCTCCTTTCACATTAACCAAAGACTTTCTTCACCTAGCTCAGTGCTCTGGGCTGATTTCAAGGATTCCATCGAGCTTCTCTCCTGATACAGGGAACCGGGTTGATTGTGTCTTGTTGGTGACTTTCAGCGTGTCCCATTGATGACTCACGTCACTCTTCCCCCTACTTACCTGTTTCTTCTAAAAAGACAGACACTGTGGGGAGTAAGTTCATACTTTCTCGTGTCTCTTCACCGCTCTTCACAGTCTTTAATTGTTGACGATTGCTGAATTTTTGCTAAATTTTTTAACTGAGTACTAGTAAAGGGGAAATATGGCTGTCATCTCTTTTTTATGGCTTTTTCCATGTAATGACTAGATTTCTTATTTGAAACCCTCAAGTACTTCTGTTTAACAGCTTTCCTGTCATTGGTGCTTTGAGATCAGCAGAATGGGGGTGAATGATCTGTGGCCAATTTTGGAGCCGGTCAAGCAGCATACCCATCTCCAGAGCCTCCAGGGGAAAACCCTCGCAGTTGATCTGAGTCTCTGGGTGTGTGAAGCGCTTACAGTCAAAAAGATGGTTGGCACCGTCGTCAAGCCCCATCTCAGGTGCGTATGGGCTTCTGGTCGCCCCATCCGTCCACCAGGGCCTTGGTTTTTATGTCTTACCGCTTCTGTTCAGTGTGATGGGGTTGAGTATTGAAAGTGCAGCATCCCTGGATTTCCTGCTCCTCATTCAGGAGACATGATGTGAGAAGACAGGCGAATGTTTCATTGCACACTCATTCCATGTCTTGACCCATATCTGGCCATTGGGCCCAGGTGGCCCTGGAGGAGAGAATGAGACTGTTGACTGTGCATCCTGCCTCACTTAAATCCAGTGCACTCACGTGGCGTGGCATCACCCCACGGATGTCACAGTCCTTTTTGAGAACCGAGGACACACGGCAGGGACAGTTTCACGTCAGGCACGGCGTGAGGGACTGGGGGCATAAAGACAAACACGGCACATCCCCTGCCCACAAGAGGATTGCATTCTTCCGGGGGCAGACAACGTGGACGCGTGTAAATGAATCTCAAGTGGAGGCAGAGTGAATCCAAAATCATTTCCTGGGGGAGGGGTCCAGGGAGTCCTTGTAGGAGGTGGGTTTTCTAACGGCGGGGAGGCATGAGACGCAGCCTCCCTCCAGGAGGGCTGAGGGACCTGGGAGAGAAGGGAGTGTGTGGGGACAGCAAGCCAAGCAGACAGGAGGGATGAGGGGTCGTCAGCCTCAGGGCTTACACACCCGCCTACTTTTCTCATTCATTTAAGTTTGTTTGTGCTGTTCAGGAACTTATTTTTTCGGATCTCGTCTCTGACTTTAATGGGAGTAAAACTGCTCTTCGTCACGGAAGGCGATGCTCCCAAGCTGAAAGCGGACGTGATGAGCAAAAGGAATGAGACGCGATATGGGCCCCCCCAAAACCGGACCCACCGGCCCACGAGATCCTCTTTCAAGGCCATCTTAAAAGAGGTGAGCAGCCACAGCCAGGGTCCCTTCTGTCCACAGAGTAGACAAAGAGGGGAGGAGCGCTTGCTGAATTCGGTCTCGTAGCATGAAGTTTTACATAGCATCTTTATCCGAAAGAGAGCCCTCCCGATGCGGTGAGGCTGGGGTTCATAGAGCAAGATGGGCTTTGGTCAAGCTCAATGCATTATGGTCATTCTTCTCTTCCTTAAACTGGCAGAATGTTCCTGCTTGGCACACTGAGCATACCCCCTCCAGATTTATGAAGCTTGTGATTTTTATACCGTTATCCCAAACAGGGAGTATGGCAGTTATCGTAGACAGTCGTGATCATGTACCATCATCAGATTGGGCCTTGAAAGCCCGTTTGCTCTACACAAGGCACCTGCTCTGATACTGTGAGTCTGACTCTTGCTTCTTTGCTTTTCCACCACTCTGTCTGTTACAAGACAAGGTCTTTTTCTAACAAGTTCGTAACTGATGGATTGGACGCGGAGAAAACGAACAGTGTCGTCCTCCCTGCTCCTCAGCCATCACTGAGGTCGCGCTTCTCCACCGAGCCTTATTCATGTCCCCGTGGCTTTATTCCTTCAGCGTAGGTAAAGAGAAGTGAGGAGGCATAAACAGGCCACGGTGATCCTTCGGTGGTATAAAAAATCAATCTGTGGGGCAGCTAGGTGGTGCAGTGGATAGAGCTCCAGCCTTGGAGTCAGGAGGGCCTGAGTTCAAATCTGATGTCAGACACATGACACTTGGTAGCTGTGTGACCCTGGGCAAGTCACTTGACCCCAATTGCCTAACCAAAAGGCAAAAAAAAAAAATCAATTTATGCTGTCCCAAAGGCTGCCCGCCTTGACTTTTAATGGGAACTTTTGACTTTTTAATGCCAGAAGACCCAGAGGTCGCTTGGAGACGGAGTCAGAGACTGGGGCAGGCTGAGTGACTAACCCAGCATCAACCCCAGAGAGTGTTCTCTGGCAGAAGGCAGTAAGCTGGTCATCACCTTTTAGCAGTGGCCCTCAGTGGGTGGACAGCATTAGTCTGAGTGTCGTGGCCACGTGAGAAATGGAAAACTGCTGGTCATCTCCTAAGCCCAGTAAGAAATCTTTAGGTGTTCACATTGAAACAAAAGAATGGCATGTTACAATTCAGGTCACTGTCATTCAAAGACAATCGAAACTGCATCGTCTGTGTCCATCTGCCTATCTACGTATCCATCCATCTCTCTATCATCTGTCTCTCTATCCATATCATCTGCGTATCATCTATCCATCGATCTATATTACCTTTCTGTTCTCTAGCTCATTTATATATCATCCCTCTATCTGTAATCGATTTATTTGGAATTTGTATATTCTTTTTTTTTAGCTAGGCAATGGGGTTAAATGACTTGCCCAGGACACAGCTAGTAATTATCAAGTGTCTGAGGCTGGATTTGAACTCAGATCCCCGACTCCAGGGCCAGTGCTCTATCCACTGCGCCACCTAGCTGCCCCAAATTTGTATGTTCTTTTTTTTTTTAGGTTTAATATCACAGGAAAACTTTTTTTTAATTTTTAATTTTTTAATTAATAAATTTATTTATTTTTAGTTTTCAACGTTTACTTCCACAAGATTTTGAGTTCCAAATTTTCACCCCATCTCGCCCCTCCCCCCACTCCAAGATGGCATGCATTCTAAATACCCCTTCCCCTAGTCTGCCTTCCCTTCTATCTCTCCCCCTCTTCTCTTATCCCCTTCCCCTTCTGTTTTCCTGTAGGGCAGGATAGATTTCTGTACCCCATTTCCTGTATTTCTTATTTCCCAGTTGCATGTGAAAACATTTTTTTAAACATGTGTTTTTAAAACTTTGGGTTCCAAATTTTCTCCCTTCCTCCCTCCCCACCCACTCTCATTGAAAAGGCAAGCAACTCAATATAGGCTATACATGTGCAGTTATGCAAAACACTTTCATAGTAGACATGCTGTGAAAAACTAACACTATTTCCCTTAACCCTATCCTGCCCCCCCATTTATTCTATTCTTTCTTTTGACCATGTCCCTCCTCAGAAGTATTTGCTTCTGATTACCCCCTTTCCCAATCTGCATTCCTCTCTATCACCCCCTTACTCGCTTGTCCCCTTCCCCCCCTATTTTCCTGTAGTGTAAGACAGATTTCCACACCCAATTGAGTGTATATGTTATTCCCTCCTTAAGTCAAATCCTATGAGAATAAGATTCACTCATTCCCTCTCACCTTCCCCCATTTCCCCTCCACTGTAAGAGCCTTTTCTTTTTTGTTTTTTTGTGAGATAATTTACCCCTTTCTACCTCTCCCTTTCTCCTCCTAGCATAATCCTCCCTCACCCCTTAATTTTATTCTCCACCCTTCATCTTCAACTCACCCTGTGCCCTCTATGTATCTATGTATCTGTCTATCTATCTATCTATCCATCTATATATACATACATATAATTTTTACCGTCCAACTACCCTAATACTGACAAAGATCTCATGAGTTGAGTTACAAATATCATCTTTCCATGCAAGAACATAAACAGTTCAACCTTAATAAGTCTCTTATGATTTTCTCTTTCCTGTTTACCTCTTCATGTTCCACTCCAGTCTTGTATTTGAAAATCAAATTTTCTATTCAGCTCTGGTCTTTTCATCAAGAATGCTTGCAAGTCCTCTGTTTCACTGAATGACCATTTTTTCCCCTGAAGTATTATACTCAGTTTTCCTGGGTAGTTGCTTCTTGGTTGTAATCGTGTCTCCTTTGCCCTCCGGAATGTTGTATTCTATGCCCTGCGGTCCCTTAATGTAGAAGCAGCTAAATCTTGTGTTATCCTGATTGTGTTTCCTCAATACTTGAATTGTTTCTTTCTGGCTGCTTGTAATATTTTCTCCTTGACCTGGGAACTCTGGAATTTGGCTACAGTATTCCTAGGAGTTTTCCTTTAGGGATCTCTTTCAGGAGGAGATCAGTGGATTCTTTCAATTTCTATTTTGCCCTCTGGTTCTAAAATATCAGAACAGTTTTCCTGGATAATTTCTTGAAAGATGATGTCTAGGCCCTTTTTTTGATCATGGCTTTCAGATAGTCCAATAATTTTTAAATTCTCTCTCCTGGATCTATTTTCCAGGTCAGTTGTTTTTCCAATGAGATATTTCACATTGTTTTCTAATTTTTCGTTCTTTTGGATTTGTTTTACAATGTCTTGATTTCTCATAAAGTCACTAGCTTCCAATTGCTGTATTCGAATTTTTAAGGAAGTATTCTTTTCAGTAAGCTTTTGGACTTCCTTTTCCATTTGGCCAGTTTTGCTTTTGAGGGCATTCTTCTCCTCATTGGCTTTTTGGACCTCTTTTGCCATTTGGGTTAGGCTAATTTTTAAGATGTTATTTTCTTCAGTGTTTTTTTGGGTCTCCTTTAGCGAGCTGTTGACTTGTTTTTCATGATTTTTTTGCATCACTCAGTTTTTCCTCTACTTCTCTTACTTGTTTCTCAAAATCCCATTTGAGCTCTTCCAAGACCTGGGACTGATGCAGATTTTTCTTGGAGGCTTTGGATGTAGGAGCTTTGGCTTTGTTGTCTTCTTCTGGTTGTATGTTTTGATCTTCTTTGTCACCAAAGTAAGATAAAATAGTCTGACTCTTTTTGCTCTGCTTACTCATGATCCTGGCCAATTACTTGAGTTTTAAATTCTTTGTTAAGGTAAGAGTCTGCTTCCAATGTGGGAGAATGTACTGTCCCAAGCTTTGGGGGTTTGTACAGCTGTTTTCAGAGCTACTTCTAGGGACCTGTAAATTTTCAGTTCTTCCAAGGTGGTATGATAAGGGGTGAGGTGTTTCCTTTCCACCGCTACAACAAGCTCCACCACACCAGCATTCCTCCTCGCCCCAGGACCGCCCCTCAGAACTGTGACCCAGATCCAAGCACAGGCAAAGCAAGAGATTCCTGCCTCAGCACTGGCAAAGAGATCCCTGCAATCCCCCTCTGATAAGCCACACGATTACCCCTCAGTCTATGGGCCAGAAGTTCAGGAGGCAGCCACTGCCCCAGGGCCACACTCAGGACTTGGGGCTGAGACCTAGCTTTTCTCTCACCACAGTCGCAGACTTTTCCCACTGACCTTCCAACTTGTCTTTGGCATTCGTGGGTTGAGAAGTCTGAAAACCGCCACAGCTGCCTGCGATTCAGTCCTCTGAGGCCTGCTCCAGGTTCGCTGCGGCCTGTGTGCCCATGTCAAACTGCACTCCTCTCCCCACCCGGCACGATATGCCTTTCCTATCAGCCATCCAGGTTGTCTTGGGCTGGAAATTTGTTTCGCTCCATCTTTTTGTGGGTTCTGCTGCTTTAGAATTTGTTTAGAGCCATTTTTTTTTTTTACAGGTATTTGGAGGGGTTTGGGGGAGAGCTCAAGCAAGTCACTGCTTTCACTCCACCATCTTGGATCCACCCTCCAAATTTATATATTCTTAAAAGATCATTTTTAAACTTCTAAATTGTACTGCTTTGGGCGTCATAATCCCTGGAGAAGTATCTTACAGGAAACATAAGCTAGCGCAGAGTAGGCACTTAATAAATGCCTGTTGGTAGATGGATTAAAAGCAGCCCCTAATTTTGGTCGATTCTGTTCCGAGTGCCTTGACATGTTGGACTGTTTGGGAATTCCATGGGTTCAAGCAGCCGGGGAAGCCGAGGCCATGTGTGCTTATCTCAATGCCCACGGCTGTGTGGATGGGTGCCTCACCAATGACGGAGACGCTTTCCTTTACGGGGCACAGACCGTTTATCGAAATTTCACCATGAATACAAAGGTACGTATTTTCCTTTATGTGTGTTTTCAAAACTTGATTTTTTTAAATGGTTGTTATTGCCAAGTGGTTTAGATTGGGGGGGTGGTGATGTGGATTTCCGCATTGATGGCAGGTGGCTTGAGCCAGCCTCAAAGCCAGAGAGGTCCAGAGGCAGGGCCTGCCTTGGACGCATCCTGGTGGGTGGCCCCCGGCAGGCAGGTCCCTTGTCAGAGAGCTTCTTCCTTGGGCATCCCCTCTCCCAGTACACCTTCCGCTGCTCATTCCACGTTTCAGTTGCAAGTCAGGAGCCCAGGGTGCAGAGTGCGAGTAAATCACCAGCTGCACGTGCTCAGCCCTTTTCACCATAGATGTGTCTTTAGCCCTTGCAGTGCTGGAGGCCTGTGAATATGTTGATGATGAGGATTAGGAAGGTTCTTCAGCAGCTGTTGGGTCCCACAGGAACCTTGGCTGTGGAGCCCGAGGCACCTGCGTCTGCCCGTCACACAGTGACTTAAGCAGGTTGGGCTGCTCCTCCGGGCTTCCCCGTCCTCGTCTAGACAGGCCAGGCTTCTCAACCTCTTCTGCACCCTGGACTGCGTCGGCAGGCGCCCTTGGCCCCAGGACTAGATGGCCCTGTCTTCCATCTCTGACATTGTGATTTTATTTGTTTATTCTGCACACACACACACACGTGTGAAAATGCGGAGAGCTCTGGACAGTGGTTTTGAAGGAGACTTAGCCCCATGGAGGTCTGTGGATATCGACTGTTTGGAAGGTGAAGCACATGCACACTCACTTTCTTTTAGGACCCCCATGTGGATTGCTATACGATGTCCTCCATTAAGAAGGAGCTGGGCTTAGATCGGGACTCGCTGATTGGCCTGGCCGTGCTGCTGGGCTGTGACTACCTTCCAAAGGTAAGCCGCAAACGGTTGTTGTTCCATATTTGTATGGTAGCACGCCCTGGTGCCTCTGCCTGTCCTGCACCAGCCGGGCTCCCTGCCCTCTGGAGTGTGAGCGCACCTTTTAATGTGGAAAATGGTCCTGGGCCCCCGTGTTCGTTTTACTCTTGGCTGCCCTCAACTGAGAAGACCACATCATGACAGAGGGGCACACTTGGTACCCACGCGGGCTCCCAGGCCCTGGGCTGCTGAGGCGCCCTCTTCCCCTCCCCACAGGTCTTTGCTTTGTGTGTGTTTCGTATTTACGTATAGGTGTCTGCGTGCCCCCACCTCCACTCACCCCATAGGAAGCCAGCCCCTCGAAGGCAGGACCTGTCTTCATTTTTGTTTCTGTAACCCTAGTGCCTGGCGTGGTGCTTGGAACATAGTAGGACCTCCATAAAGGTTTGTTGAATGAGTGTGTGAAGCCAGTGGTTCTCCAGCTTGTTGGACTCTAGACCATTACACTCTTCTACTTCTGTGGGTTGTAACTGTCAATACTTACATTTTGGTTTTTTGGGTTTTTTTTGTTTTTGTTTTTTGTTTTTTTTTTTTTTCAGTTTTTAAGCAGTTGAGGTTAAGTGACTTGCGCAGGGTCACACAGAATACTTACATTTTGGAAATTAAAACAGATCAATTTTTAAAAACATTCGTTAATTCATTTAAAGTAATAATAAACCCATCCCCTGTTAATATGAATAGCATGTTTTTATTCAAAATAACTATTTTCCAAAACAAAAAAACACAATGAGAGAAGCATGGTATCGTTTTGCATCTTGTGACCCGTCCTTTTAAGGTCTTACCTAGGAAGAGATGCCTGGATTCTCTTAGCTGCTTTGGCTTTCAGTCGGTCATGGTGTGTGGTTTTGTTTGAAGTACAAGAAAGAAATCCTGCCTCACAGACATAGAGCTGGAAAAAGGAAGAGTTTTTTAAGAGGCAAATAAGTCTCAATATTATCGTGACAATAGTTTCGTCCTCATGGCCCCCTTGACAGGGTCTCGGGTAGGACCACACTTTGACACCTGGCATACAAAACCAGCTGCGTCCTCCTTATCCAACATAGCACAGCGCAGGGGACGTAGTAAGCGCTCAGTAAGCGTGTTGAATGAAGGAATCCCAGAAGGTGAGAGATGTCAGCAGCCACCTCTCCTCCCCCACCCACAAAGTGACAAGTGATTGAGTGAAACTAGGAGTCTTGTACATCTGTGTGATTAAAAATAGACCGCTAACGGCATGTCCGCCTGCATGCTGCGTCATGCACAGATTGACCGACGCCCAGGTGGTCCGAACTGTGACGGCATGATGGCAGGTCTCCCTCGTGATCCTCACCTCAGCACGGAAAGCGATTTCTGATCTCATCCATCCGGGAGACAACACGGTCTGTCTCTGGATCCAGAGGGGTCTTCGAGGGTCACTCATTGTGCTGCCACTGTTGGGCTGACGGGCCCCTCCTCGAATAGCGGACAGTCTCTTTCTTGCCCTTGTAGGGGGCTCTTCAGTCTCAATGTAGAGCTGAGCAGGCGATCTCCAGCCCAGCCGGTGTGTTCTCAGTGCCTCGGTGACGCCTCAGAGGAAGGCGACGTGGAGCCCACATCACGGGCAGGAAGCTGACGCTGGAGTTTTTTCCTTGTATAGCACCAATCTTTGTTGCTTCCTGTGTTTTTAGCACCTCTCCCCAGGCAGCTTTCTGCTTTTGCACTGGGTGACTTCCGGTGTGCTGTTGCATGGGAGCATGCCATCGTGGCTAATTACACAAAACAGCTTCAGCTGTCGCTGGCCCCGTGCAGGAAACAAGACCTGCAGTGTGGCTGAGTCATTGCAGTAAATGCGCATGATATGTGGGGGGCAGGGAGAGTCTGGTCCTGGCGTCAGGAAGACCTGGTCCAAGGCACTCCCCAGGCTCGTGAAGTTGTAGCTCCGTGGTCGGGGGCTGTGTGCCCTGCCTGTAGTGAGGTTCTGCCCATGGTTTAGAGGCTCAGAGAGCCGAGAGTGACTGAAAACACCTTTATCAGCGCGCGCTCCGTGCCGGACGGGCCCAGTTCTGGGGATATGCGTAAAAAGCAGGTGGTCTCTGGTCGTCAGGCAGACGTTCTTTTTTATTTTTTAAAAATAATCCAATGTTCTCCCCCCTCCCCCATTAACAAGCATTTCTACCTACTCCCCCGTCTCCAATTAAAGAATGAAAACCAAGGCCATTGTAACAAATGGACACGGTCTAACCCGACAGATTCCCTTGTTGGCTGTGTACACGTGCGTTCTGAGGCTGTCCTCTCTCTGCCCCGCGGTGGGAGCGCGCCTCATCAAGGGCCACACGGCGCCTGAGGGGTGGCATCATCTCTCCACGGAGACGGCCTTGACTCTGTCCCCTGGATGAACCCTTGTTATAATCAGTACCTTTGGTTGATGGGTTCAGTAGAGATGCCTCGTCTTTGTTCACATACCCGGATCCATCTGTGAACCCTTGACCCGCTGTGGCGTGGAGTGACCCTGGTGTGCTCCGTTCAGGGACGTCATCCAGGGCCCAGAGCCGCTCGGCCAGCCGCGGCATTGCGCCTCCATCTCAGAGGCCGTGTTCGGCTACCATGGAACGTATTTTGTTCCTGTAATTAACAGAGCGTCGCTTTCTTTTTTCTTCTGAAGGGCGTCCCTGGAGTTGGCAAGGAGCAGGCGCTAAAGCTGGTGCGCGCGTTGGACGGGCAGAGTTTACTGCAGAGGTAAAGTTCAGAATGGGCTCAGACACGCCTCACCGGCCTTGCTGGGTTGTGTGTCCTTGTTCCCTGGGCCGGCCACTTCAGGAGTGGACGCACTGCACACTGGGGAGCAGCCTCGTCTAGGAGACCCCTCAGGAGGCAGGAGAGTGGCCAGAGGAGGGCAGAGGGCCAGGGCAGAGCCGGGGTTCCGCGGTGTGGACGGATGAGGGATGGTGGACATGGTCACTCGTCACACGTACTTCGAGGCCAGGCGTGTGCAGCATGCGTGAGACTGGTCCTGTTTAGACCCAGCCCCTGCGTGTGAACCAGGGGCAGGAAAGGAAGGAAAGAAGCATGGATGGAGTGCTTACTGTGTACTAGGCCCTGTGCAGGATGCCAGGAACACGAAAGGAAAGATGGCTGTGCCCTCAAGAAGCTTGCATTCTAATGGGAGATGGGGGCGAGGAAGGACAGGAGGGAGGGAGGGAGGGAGGGGGAGAGAGGAGAGAAAGAAGGAAGGGAGGAGGAGGGGAGGGAGGGGTTTTAAGTGCTACTTTGTGCCAGGTGCTGTGCCAAGTGCTTTGCAGTTATTATCTCATTTGTTCCTCACAACAGGTGGGTGCTGTTGTTATCCCCATTTTACAGATGGGGAAAATGAGGCAGGGTTAAGTGACTTGCCCAAGGTCACACAGCTAGCAAGTGTCTGAGGCTGGATTTGAACTCAGGGACAGGGAGGGGAAGGGGATGAGGAAAGGCTCCAAAGCTTACTCCAGGAGGCACTCACCCAAGGGAGGGGAGGGCCGGCTTTGCAGAGGAATGGTTGGTGGTGACATGAGGCGATTCAGGGTGAGGAGGCCCAAGTGCGGAGGGAAGTCCTGGGAGGAGGCAGCAGACAGGCACGGACAGACGTTCGAAGTCAAGGCCAGGAAAGAGCCAGGAGGACGAGGGGTGGCGGTCGGCAGAGGCGGATCTCGGCTTGCTCGTCATGCAGAGGATGTCCTCGAGGGTCAGGGCCCCTGCCCAGGACAGCCTCATGCCCAGCCGAGATCTCAGTGAGCAGGGATGCTGAGAACAGGATTCTGGTTCCAGGCGGGGGTCGGGCTAGGCCAGCAGCCACTGAGGGCTCTTCTAGCTTTTTAAGTTTGTTTTGTATTTAAAAAGTTGTTTTATATTCACAGATTCTGATGTAAAATTCTGCATGTTCACCTAGACTCTATTTTTGCCCAAGGATGCCTGAGGAACACTCAGGCCCCCTTTTTTGTTTCCTTTATTTTTCTGTACCTCTTGTGATGAGTGGTGTAGCTACGATGACTCGAGTTAGGAATAAACTGTTCCCGTCAAGTCTAGTTGTAGCCGTCTGCCGACAGCCAGCAGCTTTCAAGCAGATCGTTTCAAAGCAAGCAAAGGCAAATAAGACGTCCATGGACTCTGCAATGTCTTGTTAGGAACTCAATCTGGTCACCTACACAGCGTTATGTAGTGAAGCGCACACATGTGCCGGCTCACCTCCTCTGGGAGAGCCACAAGTAGTAACATTAAAAAGAAGCCAAGCGCAGTCACTGACTCAGACGTGTGATGTCAGGCCCGAGGCGGGCACTTTGAGCTCTGCTTTCCCTGACATTCAGTGTCGGTCTACAAAGGGAAGACGACCTTTTAAAGTCAGTAAATGAGATCGCCAGAAGAAGGTCTGGGAGGAGGCCCCCTGCTTCTTAAGTTCTCTGAGAATCATGTTCGTCACATCTTTTGAGAGAGAAGCCCTGATCTGCAGTTTCTCTGCTTTCCCAGCAGAAGGGATCACTTGAGGGGACGAGAAGGAGGCCGGGTCCCTGGGCTGAAGTAGGGAGGTCATCGTGGCGTCTCTGCCTTTGGCCAGTCCCGGATGAGCCGCCCTCTCCTGGGACGGTAGATTTGCCCAGACGGAGAGCATCGTGAGGGGTTCGATTCAGGGCAGTGCACATCCTCCCTCTGACATGGACGAGCGAGCCGTGTCTGGCCCAGTTTTCTTTCTGGACTTGGGTGTCCTTGTCTGTAAAGTGGGGACGCTCTGGACGCTCTCTGCTGTATGGAGTTGTTAAGTAATTTGGAAGTGTGATGCCTGAGAGAGAGCTGAGCTGCCCCAATGTCCTGACCTGCCTTCTGCTTATTGTATCGTTACCTTACCAGGTTTGATCGGTGGAAGGAGGAATCCAACGGCCTTGACCCCCCACCAGTCGCAGTTAAAAAGCCAGCTCATTGCTCCGTGTGTGCCCATCCAGGTGGGTGGACGTTTTTGGTGTTGTTCAGTCATTCGGTTGTGTCCGACTCTTTGTGACCCCACGGACCACAGCACGCCAGGCCCTTCTGTTCTCCACTGTCTCCCACAGTCTGGCCACGTTCCCGATTTTCTGGACTCCCACGCCGTTCCTCCTCAGCTGCCTTATCCTGGACCTTCACCCTCGAGCATCCCACCACTCTTGTGATGTTTACCATGCTCATCCCCCCCTTCTCCTCCTGGAGCCTCTGCTTTGTGGAGGGGCCCAGGCTGATCTCATTCCTTCCTGCCCAGGGTATTGGTCTCAAAAGAGGGTGCAGGACGACCAGTTAGGGAACTCGAGGAGAGCAGCTCCGCACATGGCCCACTCTCCTGGTCCCCGGGCAGCAGGGCAGCCAGCCGTTCCCACCTGATCCACCCCACCCCCACACAGCAGCCCCTTCTGCTGCCCATATAAATGGGGGGGGGCACAGAGAAGCAGGGAGGAGATATCAAGGCTGTGTCCCTGCTTCTCCAGAGCCTTCCTCTCAGGGATGTGGGAGGGAGCAGCATAGGGAAACCTGGGGGTGGGAAAAGTCCCGCATGGGCCTAGGCAGCCTAGAAAGGGGAAAATCCTTCCCTTTGCATGCTGCCTTCCCAGGCTCTTTTCTCCTCCCCATCCTTCGTCATGTCTCTAATACTCAGTCTCTCCCTACCTACTGGTTCCTCCTCTGCTCCCTGCAAAACTGACCAAAAATGACTCTGTCTTAAGAAACCCTCCCTGGATTCTCCCAAGGCCGCCAGCCATCGGCCCGTCCATCTGCTTCCCTTCTCAGCTGTCCACGCTCAGTGAGGCCCTTTCCTCTCCTCTCATTGACTCCTCAGGCCTCTGCCCTTGAGCTTCCAAGCTCATCGCTCGGCAGCTGCTTTCTCCAGAGTCCGCAGTGACCTCTTTCAGGGGCCATACCCTGCGCCTTCTCCATGTCTTGGCCGTATTGGGCACTTTGGATTTCTTCTCTTCCCAGATCCTCTTGACTATAGGTGTCTCCAGAGTCCTGTCCTTGGCGGTGGCTTCAGCCATCATTTCTGCCTCAATTCCCACATCTCCGTCCCCCGCCTTCGGGCAGGCGTGTCCATCAGGATGTCCCGTAGCCATCTCCACACGTCCACAACAGAACTTGGGATCCATCCCTCTAACCCTCCCTCTTAGCCCCCCATTCCTGTAGGCACCCAAGTTGACAGCCGTGGTGTCCTCTCTCTCGCTCGCCCCTTAGCTAATCACTTGCCAAATCTTGTCCCTGAATTCTCTGCAGCATTCCCTGGATTTCTCCTTTTCTCTGTACTCACAGAGCAGCCACCCTGGTCCGGGCTCCCTTACCTCTCCTCTGGACTGTGCCGATAGCCCTCTGAGTGGTCTTCCGGTCCGATCCAGTCCTTCTCTGCAGCTCCTTTCTGCTCTTCCCCCTGGCTCCCCTGTACACACCCTGTGTCACAGCCTTGCTGGCCCATGGCTGTTCCTCACCCCCACACCACATTCCATCGCTCCTCTCTCCACTTTTCCATTGGCCGTCCGCCATGCCTGTAGAGCTCTTCCTCCTTGCCATCATCCCTTAGCTTCCCTGGCTTCCTGTAAGGCTTGGTGCATATCCTGCCTCCTCCAGGAGGCCTTCCCCTCACAGGCTACCTTACTTTCCATCTACTCTGTGGATGCTATCCGTGTATACGTCATCTCTTACTCGGATGGGAGCTGCGGGACGGCAGCGTCTGTCTTTTGTCTCCGTCTGCATCCCAAGCCTTCAGCCCAGCATCTGGCCTCCGGCAGAGGTTGAGTGAGGCCTTGTGGTAGATTACTTAAATGATCTTCATTTCATCCTTTTAAAACTCTGTTTTTGTGTATGTTGTATGATGTACATAATATATCACTACAGGGGTAACGTATGTAATGTATTAATAAATACACATCTATTGGGGGAGTGTGCTCAGAAATTTTTTTACTGGTGGGGGTGTACCATCACAGTTTGGAGCGTCTGGCTTAGAACATAGGATCGGAGTGAAAGTAGCATTAGGTAAGACCAACCAGAGGTGTGGGGAGCCAGATGTTGGATGGTCTGGTGTTTAGAAAACTAGTGAAACTTACTTGTGCTTTTCTTTGAAATTTGGCATAAATTCCTGATAAAAATTAGATCCTCCAGGGCAAAAAATTAGCATTAAAAATCAGTCTTTGTTTTGAATCTGGGACAGGCATGTTTTATTTTTTTTTAAATCTCAGTACCCTAATTAAGATGTTTGTGGGTGTTGTATGCATTTTCATAAACGAAGTTAGATTTGTCTGGAGTAGCCATTTGGAAGTGGTCAGCGACCTGGGGGTTTGTGTCCCTTGCAGGCTCCCCCAAGGACCATGAGCGTAACGGGTGCAGGCTGTGTGGAAGCGAGAAACACTGTGAACCTCACGATTATGAGTACCGCTGCCTTTGTGAGTGGCATCGGGCGGAGCACAGAAGACAGCAAGGCGCAACTGAGGACAGCATCAGGAAGTAGGTCGTTTCTCTTTCTCCCCGCGAGACCTGTCCCCGCGTGGCAGCTCCCCGCCCAGCGGCTTCCCACGCAACGGGCATCTTTTCCACACAGCTCAGTCACCTTTGGCCGTCCCCACAAGGGAAAATCAGGTTATGCTCGACTCACTGAACCTTAGAGGTGGCCGGAGGGGTAACGGCTGCCTCTCAAGGTCAGGCGCGGCCCAGGACGGAATTTCTGCCAGCGTGAAGGACCCTTGGAAGCAGTTTGATGACAGTGGCCACCCTATAGCTAGCTCCCAAGGGGACGCTGAGCCCTGCCCTCAGGACGTTGATACTCTAAAGGGCCAAGCTTCGTCTCCAGTCCCTCGGCTGATTCCCTTGTGGAGGTGGCCTTTCCAGGTGGCCCATGCAACGGTGCCTTCCCTCATCACCTCGCATTCATTAAGCACCTGCTGTGTGCCAGGCACCGTGCTGAGGAGACATAAAGAGGCAAAAGACAGTCCCTGCCCTGGAGGAGCTCAGAGTCGAATGAGGAAGGCCACGACCAAACTCTACGCGGAGTAGACAGAGGATGATTAACAGAGAAGGCACCAGAGTTGGGGGGGTTGGAGCAGGCTGCCGGCTGAAGGGGGGATGTCAGTGGGCACTTGAAGGAAGCCAGGGAGCTCAATGGTCAGAGCAGAGGAGGAAGAGAGAATGCTGGAGCCCAGAGATAGAGCTTCTTGGTGGTGGGACAGCTAGAAGGCGGGGATCAAAGAGTGCCTGGGAGGGCGTAAGGGCTGAGACAGCCAGACAGGGAGGCGGAGGCAGGTGACGAAGGGCTTTGAAGGCCAGACAGAGCGTTACATATCGGATACTGCAGGTGTTGGGGAGCCTCAAGAGATTACTGAGTAGGGGGTGATGGGATCAGATCTGCACGTGGCTGGACGGAGGATGGACTGGAGTGAGGAGGGACCGGAGGCAGGCAGAGCCCCAGCAACTACTGCCGTAGTCCAGGCATGAGGCGCTGAGGGCCTGCACCAGGTGGGGGCAGGGTCCAAGGAGAGGAGGCGGCGTAGTGGGGAAATGATGCAGAGGTGAAATCACAGGCCTTGGCAACCTTGGATATGGGGACGGGGGTGAGAGAGTGAGGAGTCCAAGGCGACCCCTGACTTGGGAGCCTGAGAGGCCAGGAGGAGGGGGATGCTGTGAACTGTAGCAGAGAAGGCAGGAGGCGATGGGCTGGAAGGGGGTCGTCTGAGCAGGTAGAGGGGCTGCCTTGGTCAGGGGTGAAGGGGGAGAGGGGCAGGAGGCACCCGAGTGGTGGCAGAAGAGGGAGCCCACAGTGAATGGCCTGTTTTCTGTAAAATAGGAGTCGGGGTGTGAGCTGGGGAGTGGGGGCAGGGGGAGCTACAGGGAGCTTGATTGGAATTGCCCTGAGAGCACCTTGTCTTCTCTTGGAAGAGGGAGGCCAGCCCTGCTGGGAGCAGGGATCGTTCTCTGTGGGCCGCTGGCCGGGGCATCCATAAGTGTTTATTGGTGCCGTTCCCTGCTACGTCCTCCCTGATTTCTGTGGTTTCTTTGACTTAATTTGACCACGAAGGGAGGTTCAGGGTCCTGTGTAATTCTCATGAGTGCAGCCCCTGCCTGCCCCAGGCTCAGAACTGCTGGGGCCCACTGTTGGCGGGGCCACATTTGGTGGGACCTGCCCGGGAGGGCTTCTCACCTGGCTGGGAGCCTCTGCTGGATCTCGGCCTTGAAGGGCCCCAGAGGAGGCACATCCTTCAGAGAACAGCCAGGTGACCCCCCAGGTGATGAGGCCAGTCCAAGATCCTGTTTCCCAGCGTTTTCAAGTATTCACAGCTCCTCTGCTGCTACGTCCCTGTGAGAGAGGTCACCAGAGCACGAGCACCTCGTTTTTTCCATGAGCAGTTGGAGGTTCGGAGGGATGAGTTGACCTAGCCGCAGAGGTCTCACACCTTCCCTGAGCCCCCACTCCTGGCGGGGGCCCTTTCCCTTGTGCATCTCTCCCCAGCACGGAGGTGACCGTCCGTCGGGGAGGGCTCTGGCCTGGGCGGCCGAGGCTGCTGAGAGAGGGCTGGCCTCGCCCTGACACCCTCTGACCTTTTGGCTTGTGCCTTATTTCCAGGAAAGCTTGCAGTTGTGAAGGATTCCCATTCCACGAGGTAACAACCAAAGCAGGCTGTGAAACATTTATTCCAGGGAGTTCAAGTCAGGCGAAATCTTAAAGTCCTGTTCTCTTTCTTCCCCTCCACCCCTTTCTAGGTTATTCGAGAATTCCAGTTGAGCAAGGATAGATTGACGAAGAAAATCCTCTGCCGCAGACCTGACCTGTTATCTTTTCAGGTACGTTCAGGGACAGCGTGACTTAGTCCATACCCTAGAAGGTTGGCAGCTGAAGAGGAGACAGGATGGGCAGAGCCCAGCCCGGCCCCCACCAGCTAGCTCTCTGCTGCCTCTTCTGCGTTGCCCAGCACCAGTCAGCTAGTGTTTGTCTGGCCAGACACCGAGTGCTCCAGGATGGTCTATACAAGCCAGGAAAACCCCATGCTTAGCACGGCGCTTTGTGCATATGATTTGAAGTGAATTTGCTGCCTCTGCCCATAGATAGTCCCTCAGCATCGCGCAGCTGACCCCAGAGGAATCCGCCATTCAGTTGGCTTCTTCACTGGTCAGGGCCCCAGCGCCGGCCCCCCAATTGACAGCCCTTCATAGACTGGGAGTCTTTGAGGGCAGGGACACGTGCTTAGCCTAGTTGCAGGCACACAGCAAGTGTCTCATAAGTGCTCATTGGCTGACCGGCTGGCCTTGCCTTCACCCAGACGCTCCCAGGAGGTAATGCTAAGTCCATGTTGCATTTGATCGGATTTCCAGGTATTTGCTTTGGAGAAAATGGAGTGGCCCCGGCATTACGCATGTGAGAAGTTAATGGTGCTTTTGACACATCACGACATGACGGAGAGGAAGTCTGGCTGGATAGGTCCCGGCCAGCTGCAGCCAGTGCGGTAAGGGGCTCGGGGGCTGGGGCTGGGGGCAGCTGAGGGACATCTCTGTCCTCCTCTCCTCCTGGAGGGCTCCGGGCTCCCACTGGGCTGGGCCTTGCTGGACGGCTGCCATAGGCTGCAGAAGCCTTGGGTGCATAGCTGCTTCTGTGTTGGGCCCGGCCTGAGAAAGTATCCAGTGGGGTCATTCCTGTGCCTGGTCTAGATCGACAGTGGGAGAGTCCACAGATGCACTCCAAGGGTCATGGGGAGGGGGGCCATAGTCCAGAGGTAGCCTGGGGAGAGACAGGCAGGGATCGGGAGACCATGGCTCAAAAGCCTGTGCTAACGGCAGTGGTCGCTCCACCTGCCTCAGTTTCCTCATCTGTAAAATGATAGTGACAGGCCTTGTACTGTCTCATAATAACAGCTGGCACAGAGACATATGTGGTACTTTAAAGGAGACAAACGGCTTTTCATAATCACCTCATGGGAGCCTCCACACAGCCCTGTGAGTTTGGGCATCCCAGTAACATTTCATTTTCCAGATGAGGAAACTGAGTCTGAGAGAGCTAAAGTAACTTGGTCAGGGCCACTCGGTTAGCGAAGGTCAGAGGAGGTATTCAGTCTCTCGTTCTGATCCCTGGGCCCAGCCCCTGATGTCACGTGTCCTCACACATACCCCACCAATTGCTGTGGTTGCAATAAAAATCTGTGATAAAGGGAAACCAAGGCACAAAGGTCCACACGTAGTTTATTAGCAAGGCTAGCGATTGCCAAGAAAAAGGACCCGGGGTGCATCTGACAGCTGGAGCAGCTCTTTTCTACCGAAAGTGTCCCAGGGATGTTAACTAAAGGAAGACTGACGGGTCTGATGGCGGGTGGGCGGTCACTGGGCTTGGCTCAGGGTGGCTCCTGCCTTCCTCGGTGAGCGGAGGGGCGGATGTTGTGGCCCGGCTGCCTGAGTCTAAGCCATCTGTAGCATCGCTGTGATCAGACGTGCGAAGTGAAGCGGGGACAGAAGGGGCCGGCCCAAGGCCGCGGTTGTCCCTGTGCCAAAGGACGAATATTTCCAGGATGTACGTGGGTGGATGGCTTTAGGTTGCAGCGTCGTGGTTTACCACATCACTTGTGGAACTCATCCCCATCGCATTTAGTGGCATTCGTCCTTCTTCCTAGAATCACCCACACGCGCATCAGGAACGGCATCCCTTGTTTTGAGATCCAGTGGCAACGGCCAGGTGCGTGTTGGTGCTGCGGGCGATCCTGGGGGCTGCCTGCCTTTGCCTGCTGGGCTGAAGGCTCCGCAGGGTCTGGGACACGCCGCAGGGCCAGGGCCACAGCCCCTCCCCATCTTGTCCTGCTTGTGGGGACGGCGCCAGAATGTGGTTCTAAGGAGCGAGGAGGGGGGGTTGCTCCCCAGAGGTGCTTCTGTCCAGTGAAATGTCCTATTCTTCTTTGTCCCTTCTGATCCTGTGTGCTGTTGGCCAGTGTTGTGCTCAGCCGAGACCAGTGGTGCCCCCCATCCCCTCATTCACTGCCCATGGCGTCTGCCTGTTTCTGCCACACCATGTGTCTGTGGGTCTGCTGCCCTCTCCCTGACTCCCCGGGGGCTCTTCTGCCTCCTGTCCTCTGGACTTTCTCTCCTCCTCCTCCTCCTCCTCCCTCAGAGCCGGCCCTCCCTCTCCTCATCTCCTTTTCCCTCTGCCTGTTCCTCACGGGAGACATCTGGCTGTCTGCATGTGTGTGTCTGTGTGTATGTATGTGCACCTGATATGTGTCTGCACGTGTCTTTGCGTGTGTATGCATAGGTTTCTATCTGCATGTGTGTATTTGTGCATGTGTGTCTGTGTGTGTGCTGCCCTCATTTAACCAGCTTAGACCCAAGGGGAGCTGTCAGCAGGCGCCCAGGAAGGAGAGGGGGGCTGCCTCCCACAGTCCATGACTGAGATACCGCCTCCCCCATCCCCCCAAGCCATGTGGCCAGAACGGGCCTGCGCTGTCTGGGGCCTCTTTGCTCACAGCCCAAGCTCCTGGGAATGGGCTCTCTCTGTCTCTGTCTGTCTGTCTCTCTCCCTCCATCTCCCCACCCCCCATTTCATCCCCAGGGTCTGTGCCCCAGCAGCATCAGACCCTTGAGCTCAGCATTGGGCACATCTGCTGCTCTCTTCCTATGTGCCCTTGAGCAGGTCACCTCATGAGCCTTGGCCTCAGTTTCCTGTAATCACCTGTAAAACAAGGTGTTGAGGCAGAATGAATCTTCAGGTTCCTCACAGCTCTGAAATTCTGTGATTCCAGATCTCAGTCTGGTGATCCTAGAACCCCCCCACCCCCAAATCATTCCTTGTTCTTAGGTCATATCAGTGGCGTTCAGTCAGCCAGTAAGCATTGATTAAGCACCTACTGTGTGCCAGGCCCTGCTCTGCAGGAGCTGCCAGTCTGATGGGGAAAAGTGCAGGCAAACCATGGTGTCCAGACAAGCTGCAGATAGGATCCCTGGGAGAGAAGGAGCAGAGCAGGGACCCTGCATTAAGAGGGGGTACAGAGGCCTCCTGCACAAGGGGGATCTCAGGCCAGGGGGCAGAGAGGATGAGGGAGAGCCGGCCAGGCACAGGGGTGACCCTTGATGACAACATTGGCCTCGGCACAGCCGTGATGCAAGAGAAGGGAGGATTGTGTAGCCGTAAGGGCTTTTCTGGGCACTGTCAGTGGGTGCCGGTGCCACCATGGGGTGAAATGGGGTCAGCTGTGGTCACCTGGCGATGTGTGGCCATTGGCAAGAGGACAGGCAGTCCTCGCCCAGCGGGGTCTTATTGAGATGAGCAGGGGAGGAGGGGAGGTTTAGGGAGGGTGGGACAGCGTCCACGAGGCTACGCCAGCCCTCCCGCCACTGCGTTTCAGAGCACTATGTGATGGCTGCTGAAGCTGCCCCTGGCACTGAACTCCAGCCAGGGCCGCCTGCTGTGATCACGGTGGAGGAGGCCTCCTTATTCGAAGCTGCCTACCCTGACGCGGTCGCCCAGTACCAGAAGGAAGTGCTGGAACGCCAGGGGAAGAAGTCCAGAAGTGAGTCTGGAGGCGGAAGGCGTCGGGCCGGGCTTGGGAGGAGCTCAGACATGCCTTCATCCCTGCTCCCACAGGGAGGGCAGGCCTGGTTCACTTGGATCTGCACTGTGTGGGATAAAGGCTCGTCAGGCCCCGGTCAGCCGAGCTGAGCTAGTACCGTGTCTCCATGAGGATTCCAGACTGCCACTCTCAGAGCAGGAAGACCAGGGTTCGAGTCTTGCCTCGACACATCCTGGCATGTGATTCTGGACCAGTCACTTTGTCTCCAGTGCCCCCAGAAGCCGCCAGACTAGAAGTTACTGGGCAGGTCTCTGCCGGCGTTGGCAGGAGCTGTGTCTTTCAGTGAAGCCCCTGCCCCTGGCTCTCCATAGTCTGTAGAAGGCTCTCTCCCATAATCTGTGTATATGGGGCTTTATGAAGGGGGGCAGAGCTCTGGAGGGGAGTGCTGGGCCCCGAATTAGGATACTCCTGGTGTCTGACCTTGGACGAGTCATTTCCCATCTTCCCGGGCATCTTCTGTAACAGGAGGAAGTAACCATGTGATGTCCCAAGGCTGGTCCGAGCCCGACCTTCTCGACTGTAGTGAACCTCAGTCTTACAGATTAATTGGGGAGCTTTAGAGCTGTTGGTCAGAGCCATGATATATTTGATGCCAGGTCCCTGAGCAGGAGCCCGAGCCCCAGTTAGAAGCCTGCTGCCCGACCGGTTGTGATGACCACGGCCAGGACTGGCCAGAGACCCCCCAGTTGTGTTGTTTGCTTGTTTTTTGTTGCTTTTCCCGATTTCATTTCTGTTTCTTCACAGGCAAGAAAAGCAAGCCTAAGGGAGGCGATTTGCCAGAATTGGAGGAGGTGGCCAACCTTCTGTCCCATGTGAAACTGTCTCGTGAAACGGCGCCAGAGCAGAACTTCAGGTCAAATCTGAAGATTGCTCCTGAAGATAAACGGCAGCAGAGAACGACCCCAGCAACGGACAGCTGGCTTTGTGTGGGGGCTGCCTCGAACTCGGAGGCCCAACAGCCCTCTGCCCCTGCCCCTCGGAGACCCGGGACCGCTCAGCACAGCGTTGCCAGTGATCGTTCTTTGTCTGCGTCCGAGCATCGGGATGATAGCGCGGTCGTCGAGGCCCTCCAGCTGAGCTCCATTGACTGGGAGGGTACCTCCTTCAGTGCTTCACCAGGTGCACAGGCACCCACGACCTCTGCCCGCCCCTCAGACCCTGGCGGGACCCCTGGGCAGCTCCATCGTGCAGCGACGTCGGGTAGAGGAAGTATCCAGGACCCCCAGAGCGCTGGCCCTGCCGGAGGCCGTTCGACTCTTGATTTGAACCTTCTCCCTCTAATGGAGCGAGTGTGTGCCCAGGCCTGGGAGCAGCCCCGGTGCTCCTCCCTGCTGGAGGAAGGGTGTCCTACTTCCTGGGTGGGATTGGAAGCCTCGTCACTGCAGAGGACAGAAGGGAGCCTTGCTGCTAAAAGCAGGGCCTCTACTGAGCCCCAACAAACTGATCGTCGTCCACCGGGTGGTCTCCCAGTGTTTGGTTTGCAAAATGGCCAGGAAAAATCTGACTGGGCACCCAGCAGAGTGCCATTCCTTCAGGAGAAGCCCACAGTGAGCACTTGTGTGCCCCACGCCCTGAGGAAAGAGGCAAGGAGGCCCGCAGGCTCAGAGTATACCCAAGTTCAGCCTGAGTCTCAAACTGCCCCAAAGAGAGTCCCCAAAAAGAGTGTTTGCCTCCCTTGCAGCTCCTCTGATGAGGAGAATGAGCTGGCCGGCCAAGATGAGAAGTGCCCGCATCCAAAATGGAAGCCGTGGCCTCAGCAGCACCCCCGGGCCTGGCCCCAGACCAGTGTTCCCAGGCCAGACCCCAGAGAGGCTAGTGAAGGGGCCTGGGCTCCCCGGTCAGCCAAGGCCACAGAAAGCCCTCCACGACCGGTGCTGTGCTCGTCTCCAGTGCCTCCTGGAGAAGAGAAAGATGCCAGTCTCATTTTGGAGAGCCCTCTTCCTTTGGCTCAGAGATTGAAGCTAAAATTCCAGAGCAGTTGACAAAGCCACACAGCAGATACATCGTGTCTTGTCTCTTCTTTGGAGCTAGCGTCTGCTGACCTGAGCCCAGGCTGGAGGTGTCAGGCCAGGAGAGAGGCCAAAGCAAGGGCATGGGCACTGTGGAGGTGGCTTCTGCATAGTGAAAATATCTGTGAACTCCATGGCATTATCAGGATTCAGTTGGGGAAACTGAGGTATTCAGATTTAGTCTAAATTAAACTGGGGGGGTGAGGGAGGAGGGGAGGAGAGGCTCAAGAATGTAGCCTTGCCTGTTCTGTTCCCAAATTGTGAAAGAGCAGCTGCCATCAACGTGCTATGGCTTCTGCCTGACCCAGGGAAGGAGGCAGCTGGAGCCATCCTGGAGCTGTCCTGGAGCCGTCCTGGAGCCAACCTGGAGCCCAGGCGGCTCAGGGCTGGGGGCCAGGCAGCCCCAATACTGTCCCTCTCGTTGGGAACCAAGAGAAGCAGGCCCCCAGCATGCACTGTGAACCATCCTGTTGATTCTCTGGTTACCATCTGACGAGGGACCGACCCAGGAGCCTGGGGTCTTTCCAGCAGTTACACCGGGAGCCAGACTCACCTTTCCGTAACCGCATCCTACTTGGAATTTCTCTTTGTACGCGAAAGTAATTAAACTACATTTTAAATGTTTTGTTAATTCATGTTTTTTACTAATTCAGATCCCACCTCCCCAAATGTTTATGTAAAAATTGATTATGTGATTGAACATATCTAACCTGTATCAAGCTGCTTACTGTCTCAGAGAGTGAGGAGCTGAGAAAGGGAGAGAGAAAATTTGGAACTGAAAACGTTTTTTAAATGAATGTTTAAAATTGTCTTTACATGTAACTGGGGGAAAATAAAATATTATTTAAAAAGAAATGAGAAAAAGAAAAAAAGAATGAAGCCCAGAGTCAGCTTTGGACCGCTCAGGGTAGCTCCAGGTCAATAACAACATTGATTTTCACTCACGCTAATGTTCCAAAATGGCCAAACGGTCCATCGAACTTTGAAGAAGATGTGGGACAGAAAGTGACGGTGAGTTCTGTTCCCTTGTTTTAGGCTCAGCTGCGGGCAGACTCTGAGGTTGTTAGCGCGTTGCTCCACATCTCTCTGCACATTGCATCCCCACAGCGGTTAGTTCACTAACTGGAAAAACACCCTGGTTTCCTGATGATGACTGTCTGGAGACCAGGACTCAGATCCCCCAAACCTTCTGAAAAGTGCAGTTTATTGTCCTACCGCATGCGGATATTCACCAGATGCACAGTTGGTGAGCTCCGTGAGACGTTGGGTCTCCCAGTCGTAAGTGGAGTGACTGAACCTGCATCGAGGGTCACGGGCGCTATAGAAGCCCTTCCTGTGTGGCCTGGAACCAGGGAAGGATGCTCTGACGCATCCACGGAGAAGACAGGGTGTGATGTGTTCTGCAGAGATATGGCTGGCTTCTCTGGGATCTCCAGTCAGGAGGAGATGTGATGCATTCGTGGCTTTAGTACAATGCCAGGTTTCAGCCTTCCAGGTCAGCCTACCATCCCCACGTCGTGATCCGCTGACTCCGCACCCAGCCGTGGATCATTGGCCTGTTCATCTTGACGTGGGGCCTCCAGGAAAGGAGATGATGGTGCCCATGGGTCTGAAGGGGGGATGTAGCAGGGTGCTCGTGTGTTGGACCTTCCTGAGCTGCTTCAGACCTTTGCAGAGGCAACGGAAGATCAACTCATCTCAAGTCATTGCATTTTAGAAGATCCTTCGAGAGCAGCCCCTTCATGTTCCCAAGAAGGCTCGGTGCCCACCCACAGTCACGCAGCTGAGAAGAACCTGAGGAAGGACGTCGATCTTTTGACGGGGCCCTGGCTTAGCACCACGACCCTCCCTCAAAGGGTCAGGCTGTATGTGGGCACGACGTCGTCACAGCAAGCTGAATTCTAATGCGTTTTGTTTACAGAACGCTGGGTGCATCACAAATCTAACATTGACGATTGTGTGTGTGAATCATTCTATCCGTGAGCATCCTTCGTAGGTCAGAGAGCCACACAGACGGTATTAAAGCCACTCAGTTTTATATCTGTAAAAGATAGAAGGAGAGAGGCAGTTCAGTGTGGTAGGTGGAGGCCTGGGCTTGGAGGTAGGAGAGACCCTGCTGTATGTGCAGGGGCTGCTGCCATGTGTACCATCCCCAGCACACAGTGGCTCTTTGCCAGTGCTTGTCAACCAATTAATGGGTCTGGGCCTTATTTTCCTCATCTGTAAAAATGACAGCAGCAACACGTCGCCAGCCTGCCTGCTTTTGGCGAGTAAGGGGCCAAATGTGCTATCAATGCATGGGAAAGGACTCAAATCAGTAACACTGGGAAATGTGTTCTTTTCCAGCAGATCCAAAGTGGAAGCTTTTTGTTACTAGCTACAAACACCTCTTAGTTCTTTTTTTTTTTAATTTTTTTAATTTTTAGTTCTGGTTTTCAACAATCACTTCCATAAGCTTGTTTTTTTGTTTTTTTTTTTTTTTTTTGATGAGGCAATCGAGGTTAAGGGACTTGCCCAGGGTCACACAGCTAGTAAGTGTCTGAGGCCAGATTTGAACCCAGGTTCTGACTCTAAGGCCAGAGCTCTGTCCACTGTGCCACCTAGCTGCCCTTCCATAAGCTTTTGAGTTTTTAATTTTTCCCCCTCCTTCCCCAAGATGGCACACAATCTGATATAGGCTAGCGCTCTCTCGCTCGCTCCCTCCCTCTCTCTCTCCCTCTCTCTCTCTCTCTCTCTCTCTCTCTCTATATATATATATATACACATATACATTCCTATTAAACATATTTTCACATTAGTCATATTGTAAGGAAGAATTAGAACCAGTAGGAGGAACCACAAGAAAGAAGAAACAAAACAAAACAGAAAAAAGGCAAAGTTTGAATGCTTCCATCTGCATTCAAACTCCATAGTTCTTTCTCTGGATGTGGATAGCATTTTCCATCACAAGAATTTGGAGATGTCTTAGATCGTTGCATTGCTGAGAAGAGCTAAGTCTATCAAAGTTAGTCATCTCACAACATGGCTGTTACTGTATACAATGTTCTGGTTCTGCTCACTTCACTCAGCATCAGTCTATACAAGTCTTTCCAAGTTTTTCTGAAGTCCATTTGCTCATCATTTCTTACAACATAGTAGTATTCCATTACATTCATATACCGCAACTTGTTCAGCTATTCACCAGTTGATAAGCATCCCCTCAATTTCCAATTCTTTGCCACCGCAGAAAGAGCTGCTATATGTATTTTTGTACGTGTCGCTCCTTTTCCCTTTTTTATGATCTGTTCGGGATACAGCCCTAGAAGTGCTGTTGTTGGGTCAAAGGGTATGCACAGTTTTGTAGCCCTTTGGGCATAGTTCCAGATTGCTCTCCAAAATGGTTGGATCAGTTTGCAACTCCACCAACAATGCGTCGATGTTCCAATTTTCCCACATCTTCTCCAACATTTATCATTTTCCTGTTTTGTCATGTTAGCCAATCTGATAGCAAACACCTCTCAGTTCTGTTAGAAATCTTAAAACTAATTCTTAAAATTATTGTGCATATATTTTTGTATAAGTTTGGAAGACAAAACATTTGAAGACTGTCAACACAATTTGGGGATTTCAAGAGAGGTGACAGTGGTTTGCCAAATTAGAAGCATTTTTGGATTAGCTTTTTCTCTTCCTCAAATGGTCATTTGTATTGTTTTGAAATAAATTTCTATAAGTCAAATTTGACTTTGCTCTGGAAAGTATAAACAATTTATTTCATTAAACCATAGGTTGAGTTTAAAATTTTCTGAAGATGTGAGTTTTTCTTACTACAATGTTTGCCTCGTACATACATGTGAAACACATGCATCACATATATATAACACATGCACACACATATACATATATACCCTCCCTCTCCTGCCTCCAACAGTTGTCATTGTTAAGGAAATACAGGCTACATGATGGCAGTGAAGGGAATTGAATATCACTAAAATAAAAGATCTACTAATGGAAAATGAAGTTACCTGGAAAGTTGTGAGCCCTCTCTAAAAAGGAAGGCTTTGTTGGGGAGGAGTTTAGTGTCCTACTGTCCAGCCTTCCAGGGCTAAGAGACGGAAGGGAAGAGGAAGGGCATTCCAGGGATGAGGGGTGGCCAATGCAAAGGTGTGGAGATGGGAAATGAAGGGTCAATGCGTGAGGTGCACTGGCAAGAAAAGAGGCCAAAGGGGAGAGCTATATAATAAACAGGTTGGCTGGAGCCAGGTGGGGAAGGACCTGGAAATGCCAAATAGAGGCGTTTGTGTTTGGTCCTGTGGGTAATAAGGGAAGCTGCAAAGGTATGAGGGATGTGGTGAGCCCCGTCCCTTAGGTGGCTCAATGGCAGATGGATTGGAGACAGGAAGAGGCTACAGGTGAGGAAGACCAGAAGCCACTTGCTGGCCATGTGATTTTCTTGAAGACTGGGTGTGCCCATACCCCCCTCTTACTCCATAAACTCCAGGAGCTTCCTGTCACCTCCAGGGTCAGAGAATATTCTCTGTTTGGCGGTCAAAGTCCTTCCAAACCTGCCCCCATCCTTCCAGTCTTCTTGCCCTCCCCCACCTGGCATTCCCTGCGGTCCAGCTACAATTGATGCCTGTCTGAGCTTCAAACAAGACTGTCTAATGTCTCCAGCTAAGGACTCTGGGCGTTTCCTGGAGCGCTCACTCTCTCTCCTCATTGTTGCCTCCTGGCTTCCTACAACGCCGCCCTCTACAAGAAGCCTTCCCCTGCCCCCTTTGATGCCAGTGGTTTCCTTCTGTTGGTTACTTCCTATTTGTCCTGTCTGTGTCTTGTTCATACAGAGTTGTTTGCATGTTGCCTCTTCTGGTAAGACTGTGATGTCCCAGACAGCAGGAACCGTCTTACCTTCCTTTGTGTCCCCGGCACATAGTAGGTGCTTCATAAATGCTTATGGACTGACTGACGTTGCAGAGATGGAGCTGGAAGGACTCGATGACCCATTGGATCTGGGGGACAAGGGAGGATGAGGAGTCCAACCTGTGACTCAAAGAGCAGTAGTCTCGTCTGCAGAAATGAACCCTGGCAGAGGGGAAGGCTTGTGGGGAAGGACGATGAGGTCCCTTTGGACGTGCGGAGTTTAAAATGGCCATGGGACATCGAGTCCACAGTGTCCAATGGGCACGTGGTGATGCAGCTATCACCGTGATTTGCATGTAGTAATAAATGCTGGTAGATTGATGAATTCATGCAGGACTGAGGCTAGAGGAGGGATGATCAGAGTAGGGGTGAGGGTTGGGGGGAATGTAATAGGGTGCTGTAAGGAAGACAGACTGGATAAAATCATTTCATCAGTGTTTGTTGATTGACTGACTGCCCTGGACTTGGGGAACTACAGGGGATAGATCAGGAGGGTGTGTTCCTCAGCAGAACTTCACCCGCCCCTGAAGTGAAACATAATTGGGGATGTTGGTGTTGGTGAGGGGCCTCAGATTCCTTCAGCAGTGGAGCTGGAATGGAAGATGACCCATTGTGTGGGGAGCCTCTGAGAATCTGGAGGTCCTGGTGCAGTATGGCTGGGGTGAGAATGGGGGCTTCTTGTCTGTGGGCAGCAGGGCTGGCACAGTGGGGCAGACAGGCAGCAGACACCACAAG